CTAAGTGTACATAAGATATTTCAAGATAACTTAAATGAGGAGAAAAACAAAAGTAAGAAAACAACATGGAGTAAAGAATAAGACTAACACAAAAATACAAACTACAAAGCCTTATATACTTGCTTCAGGTTCTATTTTATAAGCAGGAATAGCTCAGCTAGCTCAGCCAATATTTTCACCCATTAACAATGCACAGACATTTGTTTAGTCCTACAATTAAACATGCACCGCAGTAGATCCACTCTAACTCAATAGTTTGCTAATTGTTTGTCTTTGTTATTCTTGCATAACATGCTGTCCTGTATTCTTTAAGCATCTATTACAAAAAAAAAAAAAAACAGAAATTCCTTCAGTGAATAAAACATAATGAAAATTCACTTTTATTCCCTTTATGTACTCTGGCCAGCTTCTAAAAAAGAGTAACGAGATTTTGTACCACTCAACTCTGAGGTGGTTAGTCTTGCTCCTGAACCAATAAATATGCACTCATTTGCATACTCTCTTTCTGTCCCTCTTGAGCTCACCACAATGACACAAGAGCCTCCTTGCTAGGCACGAAAACTGTTTCAAGATGTCTCAAGCCGAGAAAGGGCCACCTGCATTCATTCTGGTTAAGGCTTTAAGTTATCCTACTACTCAAGTCTTCCTGAAAAAAGTTCAAAAGGTGTTCATCTGAATCATTCATGCTTCCTTGTCCTTGACCTAAAGCAATGTGGTAGTTTTTTTGCGTTTGGGGGCTGATGGTGGGGCAGAGGTTGAAGAACTTTTATTTTAAAAACATTTATATGCTCCAATATTTCAATAATCATGGATTTTTATTATATACTCTAAAGCTGTCCTTGATATTACATATGAGCTAAGTTCTAACATGAGGTATTATAAAAATAATGCAATTAATTTTAACAATCTACCATTTTGATCAAAAAGAAAACCATATATGAAAATATAATTTCACATAAATATAAGATTTTCATATTGTTTATTTTTGATTACATAAAGTAGTAAAACATACAGGTTAATTTACTTCTAAGCTGGTGTAAAATACCTAACTAAACTACAGAAAACAATTACAGCAGCATAATTTTATTTGCATCTATGAGTATTATTTTTGTGATTTCAGAGCCAGAAAATGCATGACACAGGAGAATATGCACCCTCATCTGTTCAGTGAGAGATGTGCAAATCAACATCAACACAGAGCTGCTGAAGAAAAAAAAGTGTGTGTGTGCGTGTGTGTGTGTGTGTATATATATACATATATATATGTATATACACATATACATATGTATATGTATGTATATACACATATACATATGTATATGTATATATAGTATGGGCTGTTTCACCTTTGCAAGCTGGGATCCATTAAGTAATGGCCCCCACCACTCCCCTACCCCCTTCAGTAAAACACATCCTGAACATTGGGCCCATGTTTTCAAGAAGAATGTGCCCCACTGCCCCTTCGAAACTCCATTTCATTTACTTGGTTCAGTTAGTTAATGACGGTGCATTTTGACTCAAACATCCAGTTCCCTTTCATCAATCATGTCTTTCTGGACTGTCAGTTTTAGAGCAAGGATTACAAAGCCCTTCCAAGCAGATATCCCAGAGAAAGACCTACACCCATGTCCCCATTTAGGATTGCTTAGGGACTCATTTCTTCCACTTTCTTCCAAATGAAAAGAATGAGTTATGTGAAAGGAGGAAACCACACTGGAAAATGAATGTTGGTGACTCAAGTGTTAATATAGAAAGTCTTATCATGTGGTGCTGGAAAAGGGCATTGTAGTAAGATGGTTCTTTTCACCATACAAACCTGGGGAATACAAAACACTGTCAACCATGAAAATAAGATTTAATTTGCAATCACAACACATAGGGTTTTTTCCACTTTAAATTCTTCTTATTCAATCATATTTGTTATAAATATTCAATAGAAATACAGTTTTTCAAGACTGAAATGGTCTTTAATGAAGCAAGCCATGTGTGGCTTTTCAGGCGAGCATTTTCATGCTTGGTTAACTGTACGAACGTTCATGTTCCTTTCCCAAAAAATATTATTTGTGATTCTGCTTAGGTCTCTGAAAAGCAGTTTATTCACTTGAGATGTGAAGAGTCATCCACACATCACAATTCTATAGACATCAAATGCATGAAGCATTTCAGATCTGCTTTAAGGGTGAGGCAGACTTTCCATCTGGACACAGCCAGCCATCCCTGTGTCATTACAATGAATTCAGCACTTCCCTGGAAGCTGGGAGGGTCAAATTCAACTTCAACTCTGCCACTTGCTGCTTAACTTTCTGTTTAACCTTGGGCAAGCTGCCATCCCACATGAGGCCAAAGGTGTCTGGTTTTTAAAATATGGAAGTTGGGTTCCATGAGGGATTATCAATATACTGCTGGTGGGCCAAATTCCATCTGCCCCTTGCTTTTGTAAATAAAGTTTTGTTGAAACACAAACATGCCCATTAGTTTACTCTTGTCTATGACTACAAGGGCAAAGTTGAATAGTTGTTACAGAGACCATCAGGCTCACAAAGCCGATATTATTTACTATCTGCCCATTGACAGAATAAGTTTGCCAGCCCTAGACTGGATTTTTTTTTTTTTTTTGAGTCCTTTCTAATTCTAGAATTCTTTATATATTTTATGAAACCCGGAATGTTTATATATTAATTCTTTACTGAGTTCCTCCTATGAAGCATACGTCAAGATATATGTGTGATACATTAACTAAACTTTGTAACAATATCTTAAATAGGATTTCAATGATTAACAGCTCTTGGAAATATCCAAGGTAACATTTTGGGGCAAATGTCTTATGATTTGATTATCATCGGTAAATACAGCATATCTTTTTTTCTATTAATGATGTTTAAGAAGTTAAGAAAAAAAAATCAAGAAAACCCCGTATGGCACTAGAGACTTACTGCATTAAGACATCATCTTAACAGATTGTTTAGTTTTGGTAATATAATTTGACATCTAAACATAAGCTGAGAGGGATCTCCCTCAAAACCTTTGATAATATGATTCATTGTCAAATGTTTGTTTTGCCTATCTGGCACTCATTAATTAATTCTTTTTAATATAGCTTGGATTTACTGATTTTGAAAAAGAGAATTATTCTTATTGATGTTGCTAAAATATCCAGGTGGCTTGAATTTCACCAACTAGATAGTTTAATCTAGCACATTTGTGTAGCCCTAATCAAATCTTTACTAACAGATGTGAGAAGCCCAGTACTGGAGCTAATGTTTGTGTCTCAATGATAATTAAATTAGCTTAATAAGGAAAATAAATGAACAATAATCACCAAAAATTTTCCCTAGACCTGTGTTATAGTCTTCAAAACATTTTTTTGCCCGTGGAGGCTTTTGTTAATAAAACGCAAATTGAGAGCTTTTAATTAAAAGAATTTTTTTTCAAGAACTGGTCATGTACTAAATTGCTTATAATCAAATAATCAAGTAGCATTTCTTTTATCATAAGAGCAAAACCTATAATTAAGCCAAAATCCAAATTTGTTTTCAAAGAGTGAATAATCTTTTGTTTTGGCCAATAGTAGTATATGGATTTTTTTTTAAGTATTATCTCTTCATAGTATTTTCTAATGGATAGGAAATGCCTTTCTCAGGTTGAATGATTATTTCCACATATAATTAGTTCCTGCTTACGACAGTGCTGCACTAATGTCATGGCTCAGTGAATTGGCTTTATAATTCATTAATCGTAGCGCGTATTGAGCTTTTGGCTCCAAGTGACTGTGCCTACCACCGGTCAAATAACTTCTAATTTAAAGGCAATTTGTAGAAATAGGGAAGGTGAGAATTCTCACAGTCCCAGAAGGATTGAAGAGTTTTTAAAAAGCCAAGAAAAGGCATTTTATGGAAGGCAGATTTAAGGAAAAAAAGTGGCCATTGGAGGATGAGGCAGATGGCTTTCAAGGGAGGCCCTGGTGCTGCCACCATGGGGAAGGCCACGTTGCAGCTGCTGATCAGAGCACATTGGACGGTGTTTCCGTGTGAACGTGAAGACAATGCTGCCTCTGTTCCTGTGACGCTGTGCTCTGACCTTGCTGGAGGCGAAGTGGTGTCAGCTGTGCTTGCAGGACAGTCAGTGGTGGTGGAAAAGAGGCCAGCGTGACCCTCTGTCGAGGGTCTGGGCCCCTCTCACTCAACCCAAGTGCCTGCAGGTGTGGCCACCTTTATTTGTATATTCTACTGTATTTATTTATTTGCCTGGCTAATTAGCTCAGTGCCACATTCCTAAGCTAGATGTATTCCTTTATGAAAAACATCGAGGGAGAGAGATAAAAGGGGGGCAGGGGCAGGAGAGAGACAGAAAGGAAACAAGCAAGAAGAATGAGAGAGAGAAAAAAAGAGAAGAAATAAAAAGAGAAAGAGAGAAAAGAAAGAAAGAAAGAAGAAAGAAAGAGAAAGAGAGAAAAAGAAAGAGAAAGAAGAGAAAGGGACGGAGAGGGAAAGGGAGGGAGAGAGAGAGAAAGAAAGAGAAGGAAAGAAGGAGCCTTCTAATTTTATTTCATTTCTCCAGTAAACGTTTCTATACTAAGACCTTGGACAAAGATTAGAAATATGATTTGACAGTCAGAAGGTATATGGGTGTGTTGTTCTATTGCATTGTAAGTAAAGTTCCATGGCAGTATACAAATAATATAGCTCCTACCCCTGTTCTCCATTCTTACTTTCATGTGTTTTCTTAACTTTTTAAAATTTTAAGATAATATTGGACTTATTTATTCTTCCTTGAGGAGACCTAACATTTAGCTTGATTAGAAAAGCTGTGGAAAATGAATGTGCTAATTACTTTAAATCAAATTGAAAATAAATTTTATCCTGTTTCATGCAAAACAACGCTTATTTGACTGTTAGTTCATTCAGCTAATAAAATCAATTATGTCTATAGATGACTGGGCACTTAATGAGCCAGCCACTGTCCTAATGCTTTCTTTATCTCATGTAATTCACATCATGAAGCTGTGGAAAGATCTCAAGTGACCCATTAGCCAGAAGAGGAAATCAAGTTTGCTCTCAAGACTGATACTGGGAAAATTTCTCCAGGGCACTTAGGTGAGGGTCTATGGTTAACTTTCCATGGCTATGAAACCCAACTCCACAAAGCACAAGCACTCAGTTTGCGATTTTAGCATAAAACACACTTTGGGACATGATCGTGTGACTTATATTGAGTCACTAGAAGTTGTGTTAACATGTCTGGCATACAAATTTAAACATGAGTATTCCTTCCATCTGAGCAATTTATGTAACTAATTAATTTAAAATATTTGAACTATTTGTATGGGAACAAGAACTTCTGGCTTACAGAATTCCCAAAATATAGAGCAGAGCAAAGCATTTTGAAGATGACGTAAAGTATTAAATTTATTGCAAATAAGCTGGGTACATTGGCTTATGCCCAGCACTTTGGGAGGCTGAAGCAGGCAGAACACCTGAGGTCAGGAGTTCCAGACCAGCCTGGCCAATATGGCGAAACCCTGTCTCTACTAAAAATACAAAATCAATTAGCCAGGTGTGGTGGCAGACACCTGTAATGCCAGCTACTTGGGAGGCTGAGGCAGGAGAATCGCTTGAACCCGGGAGGCAGAGGTTGCAGTGAGCCTAGATCATACTACTGCACTCCAGCCTGGGCAACAAGAGCAAAACTCTGTCTCAAAAAAAAAAAAAAAAAAAGAAAAAAGAAAAATATTCCTATAAATGTGAACGGTACACAAACACCCTGGTTAAAATTAAGAAGCATCTTTGTGAAAGCATATTTTATACTCAAGCGGAGATAACAGAAACAGGGAAAGTAACTTCAGAACTAAACTAAGAATATAGAAGAACTATAAAATTTAAGAACCAATAAGAATATGAAACTGAAAGAAGGTAACATATTTCCATTCTTAACGTATTGAGTGCTTCATGCTTTTTAAGGTTGCCTTCTATGTTTGACATAGGATTTTCACTAGTACCAGTAAATTTAAAAAGGAAAAATGAACAGAGAGAATTTAAATGTCAAATGTTTCTCCTGACTTTGCTTGGACGTTAAGTGCTTGACATTTATGAAGGAGGAAGGCCCCTGGACTTATTCTATGGACCCAAAGCCAGTTCTAGTTCCAGATCTGCAACATATGGAGAGTCACCAAATGGCTGTCCTTCTCCAGTTCTGTTTCCGTATCTATAAAATGAGGAGGTTAGTGTGCATTTATGGTAACTTAGGGCTATCACACTCTTAACAAAAACACTATATGAGCTTCCCTTGTTAGACAGAGGACATAAATTCCAAGGGAAACATTCAGATCATTCTGGAAATGCAATTAAATGCAATTTTATTGCATGTAATATTGCTTGAAAATATTGAGCTACAAGCTAAAACTCAGTTTTGGATTATGTGGACAGTATTGTTTTCATGAGATTTTTTTTTAATAGAAGTTGACAGGCAAGCAAATCATATATGTATTTTTCTTTTTAGGTTGGGTGTTTAAAAGGTGACTCATTTATCTACATTTTAAAATAATTTTTTTTGTATTGGAGATATTCTTAGGGAGTTTGGTGGTTCCATCTCTTATCCCTTCCTCCCAAGAAGAATTTAAATCTGGAGAAGTCACCCAAATGTCAATTTTTTGCCTACGACTTTCAGTAATTTTCCACCTATATTATTATTTATTTAACTGTTTTTTTCACATTGATTCATTTTTTTTTTATTTAAACCTTCAGTGCCTGCCCCAACCTTAGGCATACCAGCGGTGTGTGCATTTTACCCTTCAGGAAAATATGCCATAAGGGTGAACAGTGATCATGAAATATTTCTAACTTGCCAAATGCTTCCACATATATTCGTTTATCTAATACTTACAACCTCCTATTTTGCAGATGAGAAAATGAAGACTTAAAGAAGTTAAATGGTTTGTTCTAATTACACAGCTAATTAGTGATTAACTAGATTTTATGTTCAAAACTTCTAATTCCACATCCCATGCTCTCCTTGCCACATCAACAACATTATGAAGTGTAAGCTTCATGTTTCTTTTCCCTTCTTGAAAGGATTTTCCATTTTGCCTGTGTTCTCTATCCCTAGTTTTGGGGAAATGGGGAATGTGTGGATTTAAAATAAAAATCCAGAATTATATACTATATGTGTATCATATATTATTCTATATACTATATACCCTATGCTAAGTAGTATGTATCGTATAATATATATTATTTGATTTAAAGACAGAAAGTTCTGATATCTTCATTTGATTTTTGCTCCGCAAACACTCACAAGCAGAAGAATTCTTCTTTAGCTCTTATAAATGGAGCTTATTTCCTTGTGAGTTCAAGCAAACATGAAATCCTCTGCTTTTAGTGAAAGAAATCAGATAAGTTGCTGATTGGAATGAGCTACCCTGATTTTCATTTATTTATTTTTAGCGTTAACTGTCTTGGTTGGTGAGTGCATCTTGTTTGAAAGGAGTTAAAAATACAGTCAAAGAGATTTTCTTTCCTCCTTTCTTCCTGTGGATCATGACCTTTGCTTTTTTCAACTTCCTCAATTTAGATTCATAGAGTGCCACAACACCTGCTTCGGTACTTGAGAAATTGACTTTTCCTGCAAATTACCCTGACCAGTGACCTTGTCTTGGCTACCAAAGAGTTTGGAGAAGGAGGGAGGCTGTATGTGTGGCCGTGCCCCAGCCCATGATTGGTATTTAGCTCTTTGAAGTTCACAGTTATCTATTTAATGTACAGACATTCTGAAACAAATGCCACATTATAATCATCAACTGGAAAGCCCAACTATCGCCTCTTAGGGAAATAACATTTGATCTTACAAGGGATGGACTGTGGTATAATTTAAGAGCTTTCAATGATAATTTCTTAAAGAAGGGGACATTTGTTAGATTTGTCTTTTTGCTGTGAGGGACCATCTCGGTTAGGTGTCAGCATAATTATGCAAGAGTGATAGGACGGAAGACAGAGACAGTCAGTGGTTTGTAATTGGTGTCTTTCAAAGGTGCTTCTTTTGCAGGAAAATTTAAGATCCATGCCTCCTGCCACACAAGCATTGGAAGAGATCAAAGGCCACCCCTGGAAGCTCAAGAGGTAAAATTATATTTTTATCCTTTAGCTTTGATTTTTGGCGGCTTACCACATTTTTAAAAAAATTAATTGCTCTGTCCAGCCAGCAGGTGTTAGCCCTCAAGTGTGGGCACAAGGGCCGGCTGCTGGGCAGGCAACTTAAAGACCCCATAACTCACCGCAACCTTGAGCTCCCTCAGATTGGTCTAGGAGAAAGTTCTAAAAGTACTTCAAGGCCAGATGACATGGGAACCTGTGTCCCTGTCAAATATCAAAGAAAAACAGTTAGACTGTAAAAATGTAAACTTATAAAGCATGCACTTAATTTTGACAAGCTTTTAGTATCGAGTTGCAGATTTTAGGCAATAAGGCAGCCGAGGCTAAAATCGGCCGTAGGAAGCAGAACCTGAAAGTTCGTTTAGAATTATGTGGGGAGACCCTGACTCATTTTGTTTTCCACATCTGTTCCGTTTAATTTGGACAAGAAGAAAAGTTTGATGCACAACTTAAGGAATGAAATCTCCTTTTTTTACCTGTGATTCTTAAAACTCCCAAGATTTTTCTTGCTTTTCATGAAGTCACAGGAAGGGTAACTTTCATTTTGTAATTGATTAGAACACTGTTAAAATAGTGCTTCAAAATTGTCATGCTGCAAATGAAAACACAAGGGTTTTTTTTTTTTTTCCCCCCTCTTTAAACATCTGAAAGAACAGGGCTTAATAAAATATTTGACCTCATACTGAGTCAGCTTAGAATGTCTCTAGAAAGCCTTGTTTCATCAGGGCCATCTGTGCCAGTATATGGATGTGGGGTTATGAAGGCTATGGCACAGAGAACATCTAACAGCCATTGTTCTGATGAAGAGACTGGCATTGAAGGCTCTTGCACAGCTTTAGTGTGTCTCTGGGTATATAGATGCCTTGTGGATGTGTCAGCTTGTTAGATTGCAACAAAGTACTAATGAGTTTGCAATAGTTGGTATGCCAGGCAGTTACTTTTATCTCGCCAATGACCACTCTCTCATTTCAATGCATCAGGGAAGGACCAGGAGAGTCCATGGGAGGCTATGGGTAAATATCAAAACCTAAGCTTTCTACTGATACCTCCGACTCACAACTCGCTGGTTCTGGGGAAGCAGAGCGACTGCTCTGTATAAAATAGCAAACTGAGAAAGATATTGATAAGTCATCAAAGCTACCTGCTTGCTTGGTGGCCAAATTGTCTTCTGCCCAGAAGTTCTGAGAGTTAATGAAAGTGATCATCAGAAGTGCCCAGTCCAGCTCAGGCCAATCCATATTGCTGGCAACTAAACTATTTTTAAAGTTCTTCAGGCTTTGAAAAATATTCTGACTCGTGGCCGGGCCCAGTGGCTCAAGCCTGTAATCCCAGCACTTTGGGAGGTCAAGGCTGGCGGATCACCTGAGGTCAGGAGTTTGAGATCAGCCTGGCTTACACAGTGAAATCCCATCTCTACTGAAAATACAAAAATTAGCCAACTATGGTGGCACATGCCTGTAATTCCAGCTACTCGGGAGGCTGAGGCAGGAGAATTGCCTGAACCCAGGAGGCGGAGGTTGCAGTGAAACAAGATCTCGCCACTGCACTCCAGCCTGGGTGACAAGAGTGAAACCCCGTGAAAAAAATAAAAAGGAAAAACATTTGACTGGAGGGTTAGCTGTATTCCTTACTTTCTCTTTCTTCCCACCGCATCTCTCCAAAAAACATTGGCTCGGTGACCAGGCCACTGATAGCACAATATGCTTTCTCACATGGAAAGGAGGCGAAACTTCAGCATGTGAATTGTATTCTCCACAACATATGGTGGAGAAAACAGACAGTGGGAAGGGGAGTGATTTGTGACTGTTCATCCCAAAGCGTGTTCTATTGTGTTGCCAAAAATGATAGGCTTAAATAAATTGCTCTTTTTGGAATTTATACTCATGCCTTATTCTCATTTTTTTTAAACGAAGAAGAAAATCCTCATGTCTCTGTAGAAATTCCCATTTATTTATGTGGTTCCCTGGCCTGTCCCCTCCTCCCCCTGACTTCCTTACCCCAGCAGAGCCTAAGGCATTTTGAATATGGAAACTGCGTGTCCCCTTGCAGTCAAGATGAACAAGAAAAGGAGATGAGGTAAAAGGGGAGAGAAAGCAATTAGTGTGGAATCCTAAACTCCAGATTCTTCTCAGAAATTTTTATGGCTTTTCTTAGGCAGCCAAGGGGAGACTGGATTTACTTAGAGAAACTATTAAGCCTGGTGCAAATTAATTGTTGTTGGTCTACATCTTCTGTTTTAATTTTGTCAATTGCAGCGCCTATTGCTGTGAAAAAAAATAGTACCTTAAAGCTGTCTAAACATAAATCTCATCTTCAATTTGTTAGCATTCAACTGTGGTAAGAATAATTAGATAAAGTGTTTTTTAAGTATTATTTACAAATATGCTTGCAAAAGAATGATTGAAACAGGCTTTTTATTTAATGGGTTTAAAGACAGACAAATGAAATTAATCAGGAGAGTCTTGCCGTTCTTAATTTTATGGTTTGTGGCTGGGGGAGAGCAGCTTTCCACATCTCTGATACAGAGCAGTACTATGTGAGCGCATCATAGTGTCCTGCAGAGAAGGAAGAAGCGAATTAGGTCAGGATAAGATTTAGAATGCCTGAGGATCCTAGAGACAGGCTGGAAATGATCCAGGGGTCACAGTGGACCAGACACAGAGTCACATATATAACGCTGCATATAGATAAAGAAGCAAGGGGGTGGAGAGATGCATGATACAAGATTGTAAAACTCCAAATTTGGAATAAAACATCTGAGTTAAGTGTAAAACCCTAACAATGGGCAGTTCTGTTTCTACCAATGAGGAGTGGTGTGAGATACATCAAAGCAGAGCCACAAAATTTACAACAGTTTGAAAACTATCAGACAGGAGGAGGAACAGCAGTGGGGCAGTGCAGAGATACAGGGCATAGGTTGGTTTAGGCTTCTGTAGAGACCAAGGAATGTCCCTCTCCCTGGGAGAGCCATTGCCAATGCAGATGACACAATCACTTGTGCCAATTGGGTTAGCCTCTTCACCCTGATGTCCACAGGTGGGCTTTGCCCATCTTTCCAATCAGTCCCACACACTTCCTCTCTTATTTTCTATGCTCCAGCCAAACTGGACTGGTCCCTGTTCCCCCAAAACCAGACTGGCTGGGAAAAATATCTTTCCATCCATCTCCAAGTGTACAAACTGTTCTAATGGACACTCTTTGCACAAAGCCTTTTCTAAACTCCCTAGCCAGACTTTATCATTCATTTGAAATTTCCTCCCCCACCATAACTTTGAAGCTTCCTTTACTTTTTGCCTTGTAGACCTTGCATGCCCAACATTTCTATGACAAGAACTTACTTGTGACAAGTACTTTGCATGCATTATTTAATTTTATTCCCCCAACCATTGTTCCCATCCTACAGATGAAGAAATTGAGGCACAGGGAAGACATTTTCTCCAAATAACACTGGTGAAATCAGCAAGGATTCGAAACATAAACAAGTCAGCAAATGCCCAAAATCTTAATCATAGCAACTTTACTATGTAAGAGATTGCCATGACAGATTTGCAGCCTACCTTCTAACAGTGTGTGGAATACCCTCTGACAGACACCTTGAATATCAGCCTTATCCTTTGTCATAGTCCATTCAGCATGCTATAAAAATTACCTTAGACTGGGTGATTTATGAACAATAAAAATGTATTGCTCACAGTTCCGGAGTCTGGAAAGTCCCAAAGCAAGGCTCTAGCAGATTCAGTGTCTGATGAGGGGCCATCCCTCATAGACAGTGTCCTCAAATGATGGAAGTGACAAGATTCTCTGGGAATTCTTTTATAAGAACTATAAAGAATTATATATGAGCATTAATCCCATTCACAGTGTACAGCCCTTATGACCTTATCTCCTCCAAAAGCCCCTGCCTTCTAATATCATCACCTTGGTGATTAGGTTTCAACATATAAATTTCAGGAAGACACATTTAGAACATAGCACCTTTGGTTTTACTTTTTTTCTTTTTATTTATTTGTTTAGACAGAGTCTCACTCTGTCACTCAGGCTGGAGTGCAGCGGTGCAGTCTCAGCTCACTGCAACTTCCGCCTCCCAGGTTCAAGCAATTCTCCTGCCTCAGTATCCCAAATAACTGGGACTACAGGCACCCGCCACCACGCCTGGCTAATTTTTGTATTTTTAGAAGAGATGGGATGTCAACATGTTGACCAGTCTGGTCTCAAACTCCTGACCTCCAGTGATCCACCTGCCTCAGTCTCCCAAAGTGCTGGGGTTACAGGCTTGAGGCACTGCGCCTAGCCACAGCCTTGGTTTTATTTGGCAAGCTCTTTTCCTTGTCCTGTCCCTAATATTCTTGTTTACCATAGTGAACTGAATAGCATCCCCCTCAAAATGTGTGTCCATATGGAACATCAGAATGTGATGGGAATGAGCTTTTGCAAATGAAATTAGATAAGATGAGGTCATACAAGTTGGGGTGGGCCCTAAATCCAGTGACTAATGTCTGTATAAGAAGAGGTGAGGCCACACAGAGAGACACAGAAAGAAGGCCATGTGACAGTGGAGCAGAAACTGGAATGGGGATGCCAAGGATTGCCAGAAACCCTCAAAAGCTAGGAAGAGGCAAGCAAGGATTCTTCCCTGGAGCCTTCAAAGGGAGCTTAGCTGTGCTGATGTCTTGGTCTGTAATTCTCGCCTCCAGAACTGTAAGACAATAAATTTCCATTGTTTTACACCATCAGTTTGTGGCATTTTGTTATGGCAGCTGTGGGAGAGGGATACACTTGCTTTTTAACTTTGTTATCCCATTGACTCATTGTTAGTTGCCTTAATGTTCTTTCTCAAAGAAATAGGACATTTATTTAAATAAAATTAAATTTCTACAAAAGCATCACAAGATAATGGCTTAATTTTCTTGTGATGCTTTTGTAGAAATTTAATTTTATTTTTCACTTAATTTAGATTTCATTTTTCACCTAATTTAGATTTTTCACTTAATTTTGACTTGAACTATGGAGCATGTGACCTATGTGAGACTCACTCCAGTGAAGCCTGGAATGGGTCTAGACAGGTGTCTTTACTCTTCAGAGTAGCCCAAACTGGGTGCCACGAGAGACCAGAGTGACTGCCAGTGGGGAGTGGCATGGCCTGCATTTCAAGAACAAACAGACAATGGTTTCAAAAACCTGCAACCCAAAAGTTATCAGTGTAAAGGGCCCCAGATTTAGGGTGCTTTGTAATCAGCTGCTTCTCCCAAGGTCGACTCTACCTGGGGCTCATGGGCATGCATCCGCCTGGGTTAGCAGTTCGCCCATATTTGACTCTCAGCCTGGGATGTTAATAGCTTGTACTTGTCACCCCCCCTTTCTGGCATCTTCACAGCAGCTGGGCCCTTCTCACTTACCTCTTCAGCATTAGCATGATTCTTCCCACAGAGTAGCCTCTCAGAAACCTTTGTTAAATCAGATTTCTGGGAGGAAGAAAAAAAGATATTCCTCTTCTGTCCTCAAAAATATGTAATGCATTTGAGATGGAAGGTATTTAGAATAAACATGCATCCTAGGGAACATCAGAAGGGAAGTTGTGGGCCATGTCCAGCACAGTACTGCCTGGCCATTCATCAGACAGGTGACAGGCCCCGAAAACCCTCTGGTCTTCAACATTCTCTCCTATAAACTAAAAGGTTTATAAAACATGGTCTCAAAGGGCATTCCTAGTTCTGAATGCTGAGACAAAACTAACTAATCTCTTTTTTTTTTTTTTTTTTGAGACGGAGTCTTGCTCTGTCGCCCAGCTGGAGTGCAGTGGTGAGATCTTGGCTCACTGCAACCTCTACTGCCCGGGTTCAAGCAATTCTCCTGCCTCAGCCTCCCAAGTAGCTGGGATTACAGGTGCGTGCCAGCATGCCCGGCTAATTTTTTATATTTTAGTAGAGATGGAGTTTCATCGTGTTGGCCAGGATGTTCTCGATCTCCTGACCTCATGATCCACCGCCTCAGCCTCCCAAAGTGCTGGGATTACAGGAGTGAGCCACCACATCCCGCCTACCAACCTCTTTCTAACAGAATATTATGCAAACTTTTCAGTTGGATGTGGGGTTTTTTGGTTTTGTTTTGTTTTTGCCATATGAATTATTTAACTTTTCCCTCAAGCATAGGCAGCTGATGTACCAAAGGTCTTGAATTATGTTTACACAAACATGAAGCCAAACTTTTTAATTTTGGGTAAATACAGCATTTCAAAATTGGGAAATATTTTCCTTTTGGTGAGTAAAGTGATTTTTATTCTCAGTCCTGCATCATAAATTAGACATTGGAGTATAATCCAGTGCAG